GAGGATCCTCAGGGCACCTCCGAGAAGATAGACAAGAAGTCTGACACCCCCTTTGCCCCGGTTACTACAGTTTCGTTTGATTGAGCGGTGGTTAGTGGAAACATCTAGGTTCCTGGGGGACACGAGGCAGAGAAAATAGTTTCAAGAGGATCTCCTAAATTCCCGATGGTCCTTTCTCGGAGTTATGGAGAAAGTTGATCGGAAAAGATGAGGAGAATAAAAGGTTAATAGAATCAGTGTTAAGATCAATGTGCGGTCTTCGTTTGAAAGCAGACAGTCTAGTCAACGACCTAATTTCAATTGGCAAGTTATTCCAAAGAAAGCTATTTCTGGAAGCAAAAAACAAGGAGCGTTTTTGAGAATGAACTTTATAGGGCTAGATTGGCCATGGTCCTCAGTTGAATCCTTATTGTGGCCCATCCTAAATCCTTTAAAACGGGACCTTTAATTTCCTCGTTTTAATTTAGGGGAGGTTTGACGTACTGCCGGAATGATTCCATATCGCGGTGTGTTCTGTTCTCCAGGATATCCGAAACAGACTCAAGCGTACCTTTTATGACGATGTACTGACTGCAATTAACTAAAGGGTTTTGTCGTTAATTTTTTAGCCAACGACTACTTTATTCAAATTCAAGTGGTTTACTTTGCGTTAATCCGGGTTTCTAAGAGCGCGTCTGTCTCCTATAGAATTTTTTTCTGGGATTACACGGACTTCAATCAGATTTTTCCGCCTGTCATATAATTCCTTTTCCATACCGATCGCTGTATTTGATTCACGTCAAAGATTCGGGAGTGTTCTTTCGTATTCCGGCTGTAGAGCATCCATAGGCATCAGGAAACATTTATTTACGTAAAAAAACAGCTTATTATGAGTCTCTATCTGGACATATTCTTTCAAATGAACCCTCAACTTCTCGGAAGGTCAGCAAATTTTCTGCCTATTATGCAAAGTTAAGAAAGTAACATATTTCGGAGTTTGCTCCTCATAAAGCTACCTTAAAAGCTCATTAACTTTAAAAACCCGCTCTTCATCTTCTGATACCGTTGAGACTCACTTTATATAAAAAACGGAATATTGATAATGTCGGCTGAAATTGGAAAACAAAAGAGGCTTGTTTTAATAGCTCTGAGAGCACTTTTGGCGGCTTGGTTGGACCAAACACGTTTAGCAGAATATGAGGTTTGCTTTACATTGCATTATTTATTTGTCGTTTACCATTTTTTCTAAATACGTGATTTATCTTAATTTTGCTTCAGTGACGTCGCTAAAGCGTCTGAGGCCTTAAAGGCCTCCCAGAAGAAGCCGGCTAGCAAAGCTAATGCGAAGCATGCTCCAGCTGCGAAAGGTGAAAAGGTCCCTAAGAAACCGGAATCCCAGTCCTACCGGGACATAGTCCGTGCGCGCAAGGTCAAGAGCATTGCAAAGAAGAAGGTAGTTCGCCGATTGAAATACCTTCGACTGAAGAAGATCATGATGAAGCGTGCCCAAAAACATTTAGCCGTAAGATCGTGTATGATATGTGTATCTAAACTGTTCAGGAGTACAGTAAAGCGCAGAAACGTGAAGTTAACCTAAAGCGCAATGCTGAAAAGTTTGGAAACTTCTACGTTGAAGCAGAACCTCGCCTGGCCTTCGCCGTTCGTATCCGTGGTATTAATGGAATTCATCCCAAGCCTCGTAAGACTCTACAACTTATGAGACTCAGGCAGATTAACAATGGCGCTTTCGTTCGGCTAAATAAGGTATGTTCCTTCTTTTTACTCACATCTTTTAGGCGACTTTGAACATGTTAAGACTCATTGATCCTTATATAGCCTGGGGCTACCCATCTCTGAAGACAGTGAGACGACTAATTTACAAACGTGGCTTCTGTAAAATACGAGGTCAAAGATTGCCCCTCACCAATGCCAGGATCCAGAAACGCCTCGGCCGATATGGAATAATCTGTACTGAGGATCTTGTTCACGAGCTCTATACGGTCGGACCACACTTTAAGCAGGCTTCCTCATTCCTCTGGCGGTTCAAGCTGAACAACCCAACTGGAGGGTTCCGCAAGAAGGGTCGCCACTTCGTCGAAGGTGGTGATTTCGGAAACCGTGAGAAGTACATAAACCGAATGTTGAAAACTATGATATAAAAATACATTTTGCCACTCGGTCTGTTAGCCCTTATTCACCGCGCATGCCTGCATATGTTAAACCGCAAGGGCACTGAGTACACGCTATTTTGGATGCCGTCCCCATTCTGTCATGCTCCAACTACAGCAATTTCTGCAGTCCAGTCCTTAGTGACCATAACAGTGCCAACCCTCTGGGCGCAAGTTTTTGTGTTGGTCAGTGCTAAGCCCTGGCTCTCGCGTTGTGCGGCGCAAACTCCGACTACACGGATGGTGGACAGAAGCTTGTTCGCGGGAGATTTCGTGTAGTCAAGACCCACTGGTTTGGCATTTTCTGTTCGGCTACGTTTTTAGCAGTGTTCATTCGTTTATGATTCCGTTCGCATCCGGAAGAGGCTGCGTGAGAAAC